ATTCATATACACACACACTTATATGTACTCACACATATATTTATTCATAAATATACACAGATGTATTCATTCATTTATACACACACAGCATTATTTAATGATACTGTTTTATATATATATACACACATTTATTCATTTATAAACATATAAACACACACTTATATGTACTCACACATGTATACACACAGATGTATTCATTCATTTATACACACACTCACATACACTTTATATTAATTCATTTGTACACACACACATACATATATATAAACAACACAATATAATAAAAGTATTGAGTATTTCTACACTCTGGTACTTGTACCTTTACTCAAGTACAGTACAAGATCTTATCACTTCTTACACCTCTGGAAAGCACTTTTATGTAAAGGAATACATTTTTATAAATGTCCCAACATTTCATTTTTATATTTTACAAACGTTTATATGTTATTAATGTCAAATGTTGTATTATATAACAAAATAGACATTAAATAAAATATTAAATAGATACCTTTACATCCTAAACAGAAGGTCAAAACGTTAATATGTTACATGACAAACAAAAAAACGAAACATTATATAGGCTATATATACAGATGTTTGCTAATGTATCCCTCTTATATCCATCAGGAATTAATATTAAATGATGAATTAACATTACCTCAGCACTGCATAAGTGTGGTCGTCAGTCATATTGACAAAGAAGGACTATTTTATTATTATAATTATAATTATGGGCGTTTAAAAGGACGGTATTTCGCTTGTCAGATCATATTTGCCGCCCATAGAGATGTAACGCCAGGTTGCTATAACAGCCGAAGAAGAAGGCTATGACGCTATCGCGTAGAGCTACGTTCTTGCGTAATGCGGAAGCAAAATCTAAACTGGGTTGGAATAACGATAGACGCGGCCCGGGTGGGTAGACCCCAATGTTAAAATGCCCAACTTTACAGCAGAAATAAACATGTTTTTAGCCTGGATCCAATACAACTTATTCTGGATATAGTTAGATTCCACCTTCATGACAATGGAATAGGGAGTGCATTTTTTTACCGTGAGTTTTTATAGTAAGTAAAGTAACTTTTGCCGTGAGTGAATGAGCGAGGGGGCGGGGCAGTTTACACACACGCAGCTGCTCCATGCAGCAACACACACACACGGAGGAGATGGCGGAGAGAACACGCTCCGAGGTGTGGTTAAACTATAGCCGTGTCGATATGGACAATACTCGTTACCAAAAGTGCAATAAGAGTTTAGTGTAAGGCCGGTAACACGAGCAATGTGTCTAAACATTTAGCAAAAGTGCACCACATTCAGACGGAGAAATGCACCGGGTTCGACTGTCTTAGCGCTGTAGCCCCATCCACGAGTAACGTTTCCACGTCAGGTGTTATGTATGCTAGCAGCAACACACGGAGCTAACTACATTATACAAACATGGGTTAATGATTAGAGGTAACTGAGTTATTTATTTAGTTAAAGTTTCAGCTATTCTGTTTACAGTTCTGTCATCACATTATTTAATACGATTTGTTAAAACATTGTTGTTTCTTTTGATGTGAAATATTATGTATTTAATTTAAATAAAAAGCAATGTTAGTTTTGTTCACAATTTGTTTAGTTAGTTTACCTTAATTTTTTCTCCAAAATAACCGATAAAAGTAGGTGTTGAAGGACCGGATTGATAAAACAGACATACTTTATTGTCATTTCAACAAGACACAGAGTGTACTATTAAAACGAAATTTCGTTGTACTGGCTTATAGGCCATAAAGTGAACCCTGTTATCGTTTCATCCCGCTCCACAGAAGTGGAACTACACAATCTTTAGTTCATAAAAAAGAACGAGTCATGCTTATCCACCAAAAAAAAGTTCGTCGCTAAAATTCCTGTCAATTCTTCTGGGCACGTAATTATTGGCTGAACTAGTCCCTTCAAAGCGTAATAATATCTGGGTCAAAAGTAGTGCCACGGTCCGTCACGTGATCGAGCTACACCAATTGGGTAGCTGCATATACCGGTATCAACAAACAGATTTGGAAAAAATGGCGACCGCCATGGTTTCATCGAGTAGCGGGGACGAGGAAAACGCACCAGAAAGTCTCAAAAAGTCAAAATTATCAACACACAAACATTGCTACATGCATATTACAGATTATTTTACCAATACAAGATGGAATACGTACAGGACAAGCTTACAACGGTGGCATTGATTTTGAAGTAACAAATACAATATTATCATATTACAATAATTATAATATATATATATTATATATATCTATAATAATAATAATAATGTAATTCATCAAATTATTATATGATGAATGAGTAAATTAATTAATCAATGGTCATTGGTATAAGTACTGCATTTTATTGATCTAAATTACTTAACGTAACAAGTTAACCTTCTTCTTGGACGCAGCTATGTATGAAATCAAGTCATGTTTATTTTAAGAGTGTATTTAACGTGTACAGGATAACAATAACAACAGACAGACAGACAACAAATCCTCAATCTAATGGAATAATCCACGAGCTCAGCCAATGAACCTAGCGATGCGAACATGGTAGTCCAGGAATGTTGTTGTAGCTGGAGTTGGCTGATAAACGCTGCTAGTCAATGTTGATTCGATGGTCAACTCTGTTCCCAGATAGTAAAACCTCTCACAAATACCGCGTATATAACGCAAATACCTCGGACTTAGTGATGTATTAAGACATATGACAAAACATGACATAAAACAAGCATACAGCACTGTTTAGAATCCATTTGGTCTGGTTTAGCGTAACCATGTAGGCGGCCATCTTTCACTTCTGTTGACAATATGCAGCTACCCAATTGGTGTAGCACGAACACGTGACAAACCGTGGCACTACTTTTGACCAAGATGTTATTACGCGTTGAAGGGACTAGTTCAGCCAATAATTACGTGCCTAGAAGAATTGACAGGATTTTTAGCGACGAACTTTTCTTTGGTGGATAGGCATGACTCGTTCTTTTTTATGAACTAAAGATTATGTAGTTCCACTTCTGTGGAGCGGGATTTCTTTTTTAAAGGACTTTTCGAGGTTCACCTTGCGGCCTATTACAGGAACAGGACAATATAAAAACTTGCTAAAATTGTACATAAATAATAGTGACGTGGTGCTGATACAATTAAAGATAAAGTGTGCGTTTAAAATATAAAGACTTATACATATAACTAAGATAGACATAGGCCTACTATATAACAAATATGTGCTCTTTACACAGCGTAATGTAATCTTTATGTTACTGGTCTACTTGCTGTTCAGCAGTCTGATGGCATGGGGGAAAAAGCTATTGCAGAATCTGGCTGTTTTGCTCTTAATGCTGCGGAACCTCTTCCTGGAGTGCAGCAGGGAGAACAGAGCATGGTGAGGATGAGTGGGGTCTTTCAAAATGTTCTGGGCTTTTGTCAGGGAGCGTTTCTGAGCGGTGTCTCTGATGGGAAGGAGAGAAACTCAGATGATCTTCTCTGCTGTCTTGACCACTCTCTGCAGAGACTTCTAGTCTTTGGCGTTGCAGTCTCTCGACCAGATGGACATGCCGCTGGTCAGCACGCTCTCTATGGTTCCTCTGTAGAACGTGGTGAGGATGGGAGGGGGGAGCTGTGCTCTTCTCAACCTGCGCAGGATAGGCGCTGCTGTGCCTTCCTTAATAGTGATGTAGTGTGAGTGGACCAGGTCAGACTGCTTGTGATATGCACCCCCAGGAACTTGGTGCTGTCTGTAGTCTTCACTGCTGTGCCGTTGATGTGGAGAGGTGGGTGACAGTGCTTTTTGTTCCTGAAGTCGACAATGATCTCTTTTGTTTTATCGACATTCAGGATCAGGTTGTTGGTGTTACACCAGTCTGTCAGATGTTTCACCTCCTCCCTGTAGGCCTGTTCGTTGTTGTCGCTGATGAGTCCCACCACTGTTGTATCGTCCGCATACTTTATGATGTGGTTGGTACTGAACCCGGAGCATAAGCATAAGCGCTATCGATAAAAGTAGTAGTACCGTTGTGTACCCATATGTGGATGTCAGTTTTACACACATTCTGAGGCCGCAGTGCCTATGTTTTTGTTTTCACTGCTAATGTATGCTTATGTTCTATTAGTGCATTAAAAAATCATTAAAATCATTAATGAAGTTTCAGCTCAGACCCCACGCTTAATATGTCTCCCCCTGGCCCACCTACATTTCTCCAGGCCCACCCACACAATAATTCCTGGCTACGCCACTGGTCCAATCTGCCTGTTTTACACACTTTGAACTTTGTGTTCAAATGAAGCCCATGATAAAGCCTCATGAGATGAACCCTTTTGCGATCCAATTGGCTGGAAAGCTTCAAAGCTTCATAAGGCTTAATCTCGCCATCACTAATGAACGGACGTCGCTTTAATATGACCGCTCAGAGGAGAGGAGTTCTCATTTCTTTAAACGTCTGCTGCTTCCCCTCCTCTCTCCTCGGTTCCCCTCCTCGGTCCTCCGCTCGCATCTCCTGTGGGCGGGACTAAGTCTCGAGGAGGGGAGTCGAGGAGGGGACATTTAAGAGAAGCCTGAGACGGGACCTCTGTGGAGGAAAACAATTGTGACCTCACTTACTCTGGGATTTGTAGTCTTTCTAGTTGCATATTTTTCAACAGTTTTACGACAAACTGTGACTTTTTGACATGGAAATTATTTTTTAAGATTGACAAACATCATAGGCCTATGTGTAATGCATGGCACAATTCAAACGGGATCGAAAGATAAGTTTTCTCTCTCCATTGACTTCAATGCATAATTTTTCCGAAATAAGGTCCCATGGACCAGAAGTAGATGGGCGTGACTTCGCCAATTATATTTTTTATAAAGTCTGTCTTCTAAATTATAACATCATATTTATACAGTAGCATTCAATTGAAATATTCAAGTTGTGTATACACTCAACATTTTAGCAAAGTACAGTAGCCTACTTAGTAGATAATTATATACAAGGGTCATGATCATGATAGATACAGTCGGCAAGCGAGGGAACGCCCACAAAACGTCACATCTGGTTCGCGCCGAGGGGGAAAACAAACCGGCTTCCACAATGCCCAGGAGCTGCAGTGTGCCCTTTTAACTTTTAACTTTTTAACTAACAAGCTTAAAAATCCAAATCTAAAATTTTATATTTTGCCCAACGGGAGCACAGAGCCCAGGAGAAGAACCCGGTGGCTTCAAGCGATCCGTCGGGAGGATGAGTTAGGCCACCTGTGGGATCCAAAATCCAAACATGTGTACGTCTGTAGTCAGCACTTCATTACAGGTATGACAACGTTATTCACACAATAACAGTGTTAAATTGTTTCGTAGTTAACATGAATGTTCAATTACTAGTTTTAAGAGAAGTTAACTAACTACTACGTTATGCAGGCTACCTTGCTTGAGTATACAAAAACACAGCTATGCTAACAACACTGGTGGTAGCTTCCGAGCTTTCTGCAGTTAAAATGTATTTCACCCCCTTCTATCCCCTTCTCATTTCGTTTGTGAATTGTCTTGCCCTAGGCTTAAAAAACGAGGACATAGCCCACCCAGACTACACACCCTCGCTGTTCCCACATAAAAAGACAAAGTCTCCCAGGTCAGTACTTCAGAGGCTGGAGAGAAGGAGGAAGCGTGAGGGTGTTCAGTCTGCCCAACCAGAATCCCCAACATCAGAGGGCCCAGCACCAGAAGCCCCAACATCAGAAGCTCCCATACCTCTTCAGGAGTTAGAGAGAAAACAACTTTATGAAGAATTGTATAATTTAAGAAGAGAAAGAGATGAGGCCATGAAGGAGCGAGCTGAAGCCATCAGAGAATTGGAGACGTTGAAAATGTCGGTAAACACTGTGAGAGAAAATGACACTAAATGTAAAGTCATGACAGGCCTGTCATGGACAGTATTTGACACTCTTCATCAGTACCTGGTACAGTTTGTTAAGTCACAGAAAACATCCAAGATGTCAACACAAGACCAGCTCTTTATTACTCTGGTGAAACTGCGGCAGAACCCCTCAACCGATATGATGTGTGGAATATTTGACCTGGCACATAGATATAGCACTTTCCTGGATGTATTCTCCCGATGGTTGGATTTGATGTACGCCAACATTTCTTTTTTGATTAAATGGCCTGATAGAGTGTATCAGAAGCACAGTACCAGCAGAGGTTCTCTTCCAGTACCCTAGAGTGACTGCAATTATCGACTGCTTTGAGATCAGAATTGAACACTCAAAGAAGCTGAAAACAAGGTGAGATATTTTTCTTTTTGATAGCATGCATAAAGTGTCGGGTTTTTGTAATACTTACCTGGCTGTCTGTGTATATGTACACAATTTATAGATAAGTATTACTAACGACTGTCTCTTCTCACAGAGCTATCACCTACTCAAAATACAAAAACTGGACTACAGTGAAGTATTTCATTGCATGTCACCCATCTGGCTCAATCACATATCTCTCCAAGGCTGGGGAGGGAGGGCTTCAGATGTGCATATTGTAAGGAACTCAGACTTCTTATCTCAGAAGTTCCACCATGCAGGAGATCAGGTAACAATTGAACTGTTTTTTTGTTTCTAATTTAAGTCTTATTTGTGAATTTATTATTTACCCATAGTTACCATTTTTGAGTTGCTGTTGAAGTAAAGTAGTGTTTTTAAGTATTTGTGATGTTTATTTCAGATTTTAGCCGACAGGGGCTTCACTTTGAAGGATGACTTTGCTGTTCTGGGTGCACAGCTCATCACACCGTCTTTCACGAGGGGCCGAAAACAACTGTCAGCCGAAGATGTTGCGATCTGTGGTCTGCAGAGAGAGTCATTGGGGCCCTGAAGAGCCGGTACCACATTCTGGATGGCCCACTTCCTCTGCGCCTGGTGAAGAGACTGCAGGGTGAGAGACAGAAGAGAGAAGAGGCCATGATGGATAGGATTGTGCATGTCTGTGCAGCACTAATGAACCTGTCTGGCAGTGTCATGTACAACCGTTACAGAATCTGAGAGTAAGAACAAAATCAATGTGCAGTCATTTAATAATGAGCATCAGAGAACAATATTTTATACAACTTTTTTATACAACAAAGAAGTCATTATTGTTCCAATTGTGCCATTTAACAGGTTTCAGTTGAGACATAATGGATCTTTCTAATCAAAACCACCTGTTTGTCTTTCCACAGGTCCCTGAACTGATCTCAGTGCTGCTCTGCTGCTGCACACCCTGTCACCCTGCCTCTGATGCCTGACGCTCTGCCTCTGATGCCTGACGCTCTGCCTCTGATGCCTGATGCTCTGCCTCTGTTGCCTGACGCTCTGCCTCTGATGCCTGACGCTCTGCCTCTGTTGCCTGATGTTCTGCTGCCACTTGTGTTGCCTGATGGGTCACTCCCTGTGCTGCTTTCGACTGGACTGTGTTCTGCCTACTTAGCAGAAACATATACAGTGCTTATCATAAATGAGTACACCCCCTTTGAAAAGAACACAAGAACAATTTGATCAACAATATCAACAATTATTATCTGATTAGTATCAAAGTCACAAGTATAGACAATATTGTCCAGCCCATTATTCATTCTATTTGTAGCCTATGTATGTTTTCATGTTGTAAATAAATGTATAGGCTTTGTGATATTTGATTTTGTACATATAGTCTAGTAGTCTATGTTGATACTAAATAAAATAGCTATAATATGCTTCAAAATGAATTGGTATAAATAAATATGTAACTCTGTCAGTGACTTATTTGTTGCCATTTTTACACTGATCGGAAATTCCACCACCTACCTGTGCATCTTTCAGCTCCCGAAGTTTGTGTAGTATGTGTTGTGACCAAAATGTTTGCATCACATTAATGGCACCACTGATGAAGTCCTCATCTCTTTGTACTCTGAATATCAGGCAGGTCTGAGGAGTCCAAGTGATGAAGTCTGCATACATCCGTTTGGTAACAAACATCTGCATTTGGACCTGTCAAATGCAATGCAATCATAACACTAATATTTACATTATAGACAGTATGCCATCTGTGGATAATTCTCTTGGATAATTGCACAAAATGCTCCAGACTTATTAGAGGTGTGCAGGTATATGCAGGTGAAATATTGAAATACCTGAGTGAAATATGCATGACTTCTCTTTAAGCTTGTCAGACTTTCCAGATGTCCTCTTTTGTCCTCAAGCCACTGTTGATACCCAGTAGAGGTGTCTTGCCCCCACCTGTAAGGACACTTAGCCTCTATAACACCCTCACCACAGCAGTCACAGGAAACATAGCCATCACATGAAACCCCCAGGTATGGCATAGTTTGGCAGATGCGGAAGCCAGCCTTTGCGGCTTCTCTGTCATCCTCCAGGATGGCTTTACATCACATCGAAACAGGTAGGTCTCCGATGAAGGTAGTTTATGATGGAGCACAACTCCAACAAAGCCACTTGTAAAAAAGTTGTGTGCCTCCAGGGACCGATAGTTCTTTAGGCGTGTGTGTGTAAATCCCTGCGTGATAACGTACCGAGTCGTCAATAACCAATATGTATATGCAGCTCATGATGGCTATTGTGCAATAACAACCATTGTGTGATGAACAAATTCACTAAAACGTGCTAATTTCCTTGTTAGACATATACATTATGTGAGGTTTAATTCATCAGTTAACGTGATTTGGCCTCTTACCGGGTGATTCAACCAGGTAGCAGAAGATATCAGGGAATGAAACTTCAGGCCATTCAGTCGGATCATTCGTCCACTCTTTAATAAGATATGGACAAGAATCCGATCCTATTAAATACAACATGTTAAGGTATCTATCCCTGGAAATGGGCTGCAATGAATCAATGTATGACATGTTTGTTTAACATTTAAAATCCGCGCGCTTACAGTGCTCCGGGCGAGGGGGAAAGGATTGTTTTCCCCCTCGAAATGCCCCGCCCCCAACTGTGACGCGACGCCGACTGTAGGCTACTGGTTTTAAATGACACGCCGATCAAAGTCATTCTAGAATCTAGACGAACTAGTTGCTTTAAACAATGACTGAAACTTGTATCCCCTTGTAGATTAACAACGCTAGGTACATTATGCATATACTTTATTACTTAACAAAACATATTCTTGTTATTTTCTGAATTTAAATATCACCTGGCTTCTACCTTTGACCTCATACTGTCAGCCAATCAGGAGCGTCCTACTGAAGCCGCATCCAATCAGATTTGACGGAGCACTATTTGAAAGCCGCTCGTCTCTGTCTTGTTTACCTGCTGAACTCGGTGTCAAAGGATCCTGTCGCTAAATCGTGCTTGTTGGTGCTAAACTATATCCCCGTATTTTATTTGAATCTGTTTCCCCTCGTTGCAGCCACAGTTAACATGTCTTCTGTTGAAGTTCGTGATGTGGTGAGTAAACTGTAGTTCACTGTTTTACTGCATGTCACGTCAATTGTTTGCAAAGCTCGTAGCTTCGCCAGCTAGCATTACCGCTTCTTTGCTTGACTTTATGTTCGCATTAGCTTATTTAACAGGGTTTTTATTTTCTTAAGCTTCTCCGTAGTTTGTGACTTGTTTCCTTTTCTCTTTCAGCAGCTCCCAGCCGGAGAGAAACCCATGAAGATGGGTAAAGCCGTCGTGGGTCTGAGGAGAGCTGCTCTCGGAGAGATCACTAACTTTAAAGCAGCAGCAGTCAACACCAAGGTAAGTTATATCATCATCATGGAAGAATTGTTTGGTTCAGCTACTGCTCCATGTTTCATGCCTCCTTTGTAGCTATTCGAAGTGTTGTGTATCAGCCCTGTCAGCCAAAAATAACTAGAAACCCCCTAGCACAGGGGTGGCCAACCAGTCAGAGGTTAAGAGCCACATTTTTTCTATGTTACTGCAAAGAGCCACATCAAACACACAGTCACTGATACCGCTTGTTTCAGTTTTTTGTTTTCTGGAGACAAGATTTCAACCACGTCACTGATGCATTTTTGTGGCATTGGGATATATATTTTTTAAATCCTCTGGAGCAGAGAGGAGCTGTGGATTATTGTTATTGATTAATGCATCAGTGTTTCTTAGGGTCAAAAACACTAAACTCACAACTTCAAATGAAAGCGTTTAGTTTATTTAATAAAAGAGCACATGTTCAATGTGAAAAGTGACAGTAGTTAAGATTATTTGCAATTTGGTGCGATATATATATTTAAAAAAAAATTATATATATTTTTTAAACACCTTGAATTTCAGGGGGGGGCTCCGGGCTCCGTTGGCGGGGTGCAGCGCCCTTCCAAGACAATGGTAGGGGAAACACTGGATAGTAGTGTTTAATCAACGATAGGTTCCCCCCCCCCTCAAAAAGTGATTGGTTCACTGCATCGCAGGTATTATTGTGATTGGCTCTTGGGCCACATCAAAATTAGACGCGCTGTCATCCTCTCATACTGACACCTGACACCACACATACACACGTAGGGAGAGCCGGGACGAAAGTAACACGGAACGAAAGTAACGGAGCAATTTTATCCGAGCCCAAACAACTTTGACCGGCCAAATTACGTCAGAATGATCAGCATTCAATACTTAACAGACCTACTAAATATCAGGTTTAACTGTCAGGAGTAGTGTTGTCACATACCAACATTTTGGTTTCGATACCAAGTCAAGAATTGCGATTCCGATTATTTTTCGATACTTTTCTTAAAAAAAAGGGAAACAGTCTTAAATGTAATTATTGTGCTTTATTTCACACCAGAACCATAACACAAACTTTTAAACAATGAGAACAATAAATAAAATAAATGACAAGAATTCGTATTAAATACAAGTAATACATTTCTTACAGACAGGCCTCGTGGTGTCCGTAGGCTTGCCCTCACTGTCAGAGATATAGCTCAAATACTTCCACATTTTGCTTCTGGCGTCTTTTTTGTCAACAAGCCGAGGCGCAGCGGCAGCTGCACTCCCACTTGCAGCCATGCTTCTCGTTTTCTCACATGCTCTGGCAGCTAGCTCGTGCATGAGAGCGGGGAGGCACTTGAGCGTGCTTGAGAGGGGCGGGACTGTAGGCACGGCTGCAGAGCAGGGAGTGGAAGCAGAGCGCTGAACACACACAGCTCTTATTTAAACGGCGCTTTCTCACCGGAGTACTTTCCCCCATCATTCTTAAACGGAGGAATCGTAACGTTTTTAACGGCAGGGTATCGCGGTATACCTTTCAAGTATCGGTACACCGTGCACCACTAGTCAGGAGTCAGTGTCTCTCCCCCAAACTCACACATATAAAATTAAATATTAACTGAAGAGCCGCATGAAACTAGGCAAAGAGCCGCATGCGGCTCGAGAGCCGCAGGTTGGCCACCCCTGCCCTAGCACATGAGCTACTTGGCTACGAATATGTGGACACTGTTCATAAAGCTAAAACCATGTTTAAACATGCATCTTTCCAAACTTGTTTCCTTAGAAGACGGGCCCTGCCAAAGCTTCATTCAAACCCTCAGTGAAAGCCTCCATTGCCCCTAGAGCTATAGCTGTGGTGCTACCCATGGCCCCGGCCCCTGCAGACCCCCTCCCCACAGTCTCAGAGGAGTCTGCTGATGTGTCCATGAAGGAGGTGGAGGAGGAGGAGCTGTGCCAGGCGTTCTCTGATGCGCTGCGCATGGTGCAGGATGTGGACGAGGAGGACGGGGACCTGCCGCAGCTCTGCTCAGAATATGTCAAAGATATCTACAGCTACCTGCACGTCCTGGAGGTATTCACCCCTCCAGTAATGCTCTCTTCCCCCACCCTGCAAGGTTGAGTGTTACATCTGTTTGCTTCCACAGGTGGAGCAGGCTGTACGACCCGACTACATGCAGCATTATGAGATCACTGAGCGCATGCGGGCTCTCCTGGTGGACTGGCTGGTCCAGGTGCACTCCAGGTTCCAGCTGCTGCAGGAGACTCTGTACCTCACAGTTGCCGTCATGGATCGATTCCTCCAGGTAGGAGCGGTCTAAACTGTCTTTTCTTTGTGTTTTGTGAGCTGTTTGTAAATGTCTGCCGCTGTGCTTCAGGTCCAGCCGGTCTCTCGCAGGAAGCTGCAGCTTGTCGGTGTGACGGCCATGCTGGTGGCCTGTAAATACGAGGAGATGTACGCTCCAGAGGTGGGAGACTTCGCCTACATCACAGACAACGCCTTCACAAAGGCTCAGATTCTGGTGATGGAGCAGCTGATTCTGAGGGCCCTCAACTTTGAGCTGGGACGCCCTCTTCCTCTGCACTTCCTGAGACGGGCTTCCAAAGTGTCAAATGTGAGTCGTTGCGTGGATTTGTTTGGGACGCTACTTTTTACTTTAGTCATTGTTCAAATTTGCTAGGTCTGCAGCATTCTAGACGGATGTCCTCCTAAAACCACCTGCAAGAATGTGTACAATGTGTCTTAAGACTTCTCAGTGTGCTTAATGTTTTGTGCCTCAGTCTGATGTAGAGAGACACACGCTGGCCAAGTACCTGATGGAGTTGACGCTCCTTGACTACAACATGGTGCACTATCGGCCCTCTGAGATCGCTGCTGCTTCTCTGGCGCTCTCCCAGCTGCTGCTGGTAGCCCTGCCCTGGGTGAGTGATGGCATTGGAGGGGCATCTACACTTAAAATGTTTCATTTTCCTGGTGTTAATTTGTCTGTCTTGTCTCAGTCTCCTCAGCAGCAGCACTACTCCACTTATGACGCCGCCCACCTGAAGCCCATCATGCAGCACATCGCCAAAAACATAGTGATGGTCAACGAGGGGAAGACAAAGTTCCAGGTGAGTTGAACGACCAAGTATAAGCATTAAAGTTTTGAGTTGTAGCAAAAATAAAACCCTTTTTCCTCTGCAGGCTGTGAAGAACAAGTACTCGAGCAGCAAGCTGATGAAGATCAGCCTCATCCCTCAGCTGAACTCGTCCATCGTCAAGACCATGGCGGCCGCTCTGCTCAGCAATCCTTGATGTAAAAAGAACTTTTACATCATCAGTGGACGTTTCACTTGCACTTTATTTAAGATTGATCGCAATCTGTGGAAACTACACTTCAAATGTTTTTATTTGAGCAAAGTTCAGAATTTTAGCCACTGTTTTTACTTTTTATACGGATGATGTTTTGACGAAACTCTTTACGGTACATCGGATGTTCCTCCAATGCACCTTGAACTGCAGTTCCAAGCTAGCGTTTAGATGATGCATCGCTTCCAATCAGAAGTTGTGTGCACCAAGACTGTTCTTTCTAGTTTGTGTTGACCATCTGATTTCTTAAGTCTACCATGAGTATTGTGTTTTTGCTTTCTTAAAATACACTTTAAGATAATTACTGTTGTATCATGCTTTTTTTTTTGTATCTGTTATGTTGGATACAACAGTATTTACTTTTTCTTTTCTTTTTTTAAACTAAATAGGTTTTAAATGGCTGAGGTTGTATTTTCATTGTTGTACGTGATTCATAATGACAGCTGGCTGACATATGGATTTGTTAATCCATCAGGTTTTCGTTTAGTAACTAATATTTCTGTATGAACGTGTTTGAGTGAATCCCCACTAACATTTTTATTTATTTGCAACCATTTCAAAATTATTAAACCTTTAAATGAAAAATGCAAACTTTTTTTTTTTTTATAACCAGTTTATTAGTCAAATAGGTTCTGCAGTGTGTGTGAGAAGCTGACAGGTTTCATATTGACTTAAGGAGTCCCGTGGGCAGGACTCGGTTCAGGTGAAGCGGACTCTGCGCATGGAGCCCACGGTGCTGTTCTGGCTGCCCCAGTCGGAGAAGTTGTTGTAGTCGCGCTTCTCCAGGATGTAGTGAGGCCCTCTGTAGTTGGGCTCCTGATAGCACACCCAACTGCAAACAGAAGGGTTAGTCATTTAAAAAAGCACTTATTTAATTTTTAATGTCATCTAGAATTACTGCTTCTGATTTTCTGTCATTAGTTATTGACCCAAGCTAGCTTTAAAATCTAATTGAAAGCTTCAAACAGGAGCAGCTGTTGACATTAAAGGGGCGATTCACTCTAAATAAAAAAATGCATATTTTGCTTGTCACAATTGCTATTGATCTAGATGTGTTGAGTTTAGGAGGTATACACCTTTATCTTGGATATTGGAACTAGAGGGCACTGGATTTATGCAACAAAAAAATTGAGAAATTCACAGAAATCCTGACCCAGTTCCTCAAGAGGATTCCGACCTTGACTTGAATAAGGAACTATCTTCTTTATGGCCACTGTCTGTATTATAGCACATAGGCTAGTTTGTGTGAAAGAAAATAGTTGCTAAATTAAATCACTGATAATAAGGTCTGTGGGTTAACTTGAGTAACCAGGTCATGATTTTTGGGCACCACAAGCCAAGTGCCATCTTCTATAATTAACGCATACCAAAAGAATATCACACTACAGGAATGAGAACAAATGTGTTATTTTGTTTTTGGGGTGAAATGTTCCAAGTTCAAACAGACTGATTGGCGAAAGTCACAATTGATATATAAATAGGTTGTTGTACTTACGCTCCTCCGAGCACGCGGATGGAGGCGACCCTGTTGAGGCTGTAGCGGCTCATCAGGTTGGGGATGTCATCCTGGATCTCCATCTTCTTACCGGAGAAGAAGAAACCGGCACGCTCAAACAGATGAGCCTTGCCAGGATTGTTGTCCTGAAATAACAAACACACAGTGTCAGTCAGGGACAGCTGGTGGGTGTTTCTGGATCAGTGCACTCTGGATCTACAAATCGTTTTAGGCCATCTAACTTAAAACATTTAACCCTTATTGTCCAGAAAACTTTTGTCAAACTATTTGAATATTTTAGGACTTCTATAATACAGCATAAACCATTAAACCATTTGGTACCAATGAAATGCCAACTGGGTGGGTGTCTATAGCTACAAGATACAAGGTGGTAATGTGTATTTAGGGGTAACCTGAAGTAAATCACAGCCCCCAATACATAACCACAAGTTACTTATTTTCCTCTTGTTTTTTTTTTTTTAAATGACCTGCCTTTCTAGTTTTTCAGTAGTTAAGTCATTTACATTTATTTATGTCAGTTTTCTAACATTTACTGTAGGTACCCATGACATACACTGAACAAAAATATATATGCAACACTTTTGTTTTTGCTCCCATTTTTCATGAGATGAACTCAAAGATCTAAAACATTTTCTATATACACAAAATAACCATTTATCTCAAATATTGTTCACAAATCTGAAAAAATCTGTGATAGTGAGCACTTCTCCTTTGCCGAGATAATCCATCCCACCTCACAAGTGTGGCATATCAAGATGCTGATTAGATGTGTGTTTTAGCTTCATGTCTCACCTGTTTGACAGCACGGACAGAGGAGACGTGGTCCACCTGGGCGGACCACTTGTCGTAGCAGTTGTACTCTCCCCTCTCGGACATGTCCCACAGGTACTGACGGCCGCGGAAGTTCTCATGCTCGTAGCCGATCCATCTTCAGAGGAGAGGAGAGTCAGTCAAAAACATAGCTAGCAGACTAGTTACTTTGCAGATGTGGATGAATGATGTGAAATATAATCAACTCTTAAATCAGTCTTCAGTTACACCTGGAGTAAATCCACCAGCTACCCTGCAGTATACAAAGTCATTCAAACTAGCTGCACCTTTACCAGCTTTGAGAACACTTTAATGATCAATCATTATAAAACATATAATATATATTATTCTGAAATGGGCCAATCTGCATAATGACTACTTTTACTTTTGGTACTTTAAGTATATTTTGATGCAAATGCTTTTCTACTTTTACTTGAGTAACATTTTGAATGCAGGAGTTTTCCTACACTCTGGTATTTCTACTTTTACTCAATTACAAGATCTGAGTGTTTCCATATTTGTAGGCTCCCATCTGAAATATATCAAACTAAGTCTACTCCTACACTTCTGGAGTTTCACTATTTAAAAGTTGGAAAAAGGTGTATTTAAAAACCCATTCACTGCATTGAGGTCCACTGACAGGCTGCTGTTATCTGTTTCTGTCCTTTTCCCCTGTGCACTCCTGTGTGTGTTGCAGTGACCTGTGGTGTGCTGTAGGTGGGGTTGCAGACTTACGCTCCGCTCTCCACCTGCACAGAGTTACATCTCTCTGGGAAGCTCTTGTCACTGAGCCTGGCACAGTCAGAGCTGAGATCCAAACGCCTGCCGGCGAAGTTCCTCTGCTCGAAAAGGGTCACCTGAGGGCACAGACACCACGGGAAACACATTGTATTAAAGTTAAACATCAGCACTCAGATGTTTATCGCCTCTCAAGTATGAAGCTTACATTTTCTTTTGTTTACTATGTTGGGTTGCGAATTTCCACTTGTGGAAAAAACTCTATGACAACTTCAGTCACACTATAAGGTTTTTTCCTTAACGTTTTGAATATTTTGACACCAATACCTACAATAAGCCATAATGAATTTATATCATTTGTTGTTCTGATTGGGAGGGAACATGTACATCTTAAGAAAAGATAAAATGATGGGTTATATTCTCAAATGGTCAGATTCGAAATTAGTAACCAAAAGTATATGTAAAGGAATACACAATATTAAATAACTAAAATATTTGGTTTACAGTAAACAGATGTGCTAAATATAATGCAGTAGATATTTCTTGGTGAGCCACAGCTGAGAGCAGTGACTTTCTGGAAAGTAAACCGCAACATCGAAAATAACTAGTGAGCTTTAGAGTTGCTTGTAGGTTAAATCTTTATGCTAAGTTACATAGCTTTAAGTAATAGAACAAAGATAATAAAGCTATTCTTCGTTAGCCAAGAGGTCCCCACAGAAAATGATATATATGTTTTACATTATACTAAACAACACTAAACAGGTAAATGACACTTCATCAGTTCATAACAACATGTAACTCACCCTCCCACTGGACCCGTAGAAGGCACGTTGGAGTACAGACCCCAGCTTGCTGTAGATATAGAAGGTTTTATAGTGAATAATTACACCCCCAAACATTCTACACCATAATTAAAAACAGATGATAAAGAAATAACAGAGTAACTTAAAAAAAACATGACAGTGTGTTGAGGTATAACTAAACACCTGAGCTACTGAAATGTCATCATTTAAGTCACTTTGGTCAAGAAACACTGAAGTGCTACAGATTGTAACCAATAAGGAATTAGAAGTATTTTCATGCTTTCCAATTTGAAACTACACTGTGCAGAATGTGTACATGTCTCCTGCCATGATCACATCACAAAATCGGGTGATTTTGGGAAACTGGTATAGCCTGAGAACCAGCAGCAGGTGGGACGTGGAGCCATGGGCCCCCCCACCCCGACACCTCTGAGCAGGGGGCTCTTTGGGTCTGGTGCGCGGCGCTCTGGACATACCTGGTTTGTTGGGCTAATGCTTGGACTTTAGTGAAGATGTTCATGTCAGCTCTGTGACGCAACAAGAAAGCCCCTTAAATACAGCCAGGTGAGCTGAGCCCACAGGTGCTAGAACACTCAGAGGGGTTCTGCAGCAGTCCATTGATATGCTAAACACACTAACACAGTCATGTTCTCTGTTGTCACACACACACACACAGCTGCAAACACGGCGTACAGAGGACAATTAGACATACAAACACACATTTGGACAGCAATAGAAATAGATGTGTTCATGCAGATACACAAACACTAGTATGGAGAACAGAGTTTCTACACACACACACACACACACACACACACACACACACACACACACACACACACACACACACACACACACACACACACACACACACACACACACACACACACAAACACACATGTAAATATGAGAGTGCAGTGCCAACAGTTTTGGCTTTGAACAATTCAGCGTTTTAAACGACAATGCCCTTTAAACAATGCGCTGTATGATAATGGTTGTATTCATGCTTTGTGCATGGCCAGCTCCAGCAAACTGTATTCAGTGTAGAGGTCGTGACCTTGAGCTGGGGGGGGGGGGGGCACTCACGGACAGAACCTCTGTGAACTTGAATGTACAGTTTTAGACTTTTCCACTCTGACGGCTCCACTGATGTGGTGGAGACACAAATCAGACATATTGTGTGATTAGATATTCTTTTAGACTTAAGTCAGTTGTATACGTAGAGACATTTAGAGGAGCAACATCTTAAGGGGAGAAATTGTAGGCTAAAATTGTTTTACCTTACCATTTGCATACCGCCTACATTTACCAAACGTTAGCAGGATAATGCCTAATTTGCATGTTTAAACAGAAAACTTAAAAAACATGTAATAAAAAAAATTATTGTCTGAACGCAAGTAATCCAAGGGAGAGGTTTCCTGGTGATATTTATTAGTTATAAGTAAGTACTTTAATGCACTTACATGCACCAAACTCTCCAGTTTCATTCCTATCTATATTCAATATTTTTTGACAGAGACTTTTATTCATCTGATTCTAATCACATTTTCTTCCTTAAAAACACGCCAAAGATTGATATTTTTGTGTGTTAAAAAGTGAAAATACCAACTGTAGATTTCTGATCCAGAAATGTATGCAAATTAGCATATTTAGTAAGATGGGTATATAGTTTATGTTAATATTTCTTATTTGATACTATTTTATGCTGCAAAGTGGAT